ACAAAATTATCATATATATATATATATATGTATTATTATTCAGATAGTATGATGGAGCAACCCGCGCTCAGAAGTTGTGATGTCTCAGAACAATATCTTAACACATTTTGTCGATGAAATTATTAGTTATGGTAAGTTACAACCTTGCAAATTATTAGACATACTAATTAATGGTTAGATAATCATATTTTTTAAATGATTTTTATACTTTCATATTCAAATTAATGTCATACTATAAAGTATGATATAACCATAGGATAAATAAGCACTTTTGTTAAGAAAGTATAGCAAAACATTGTGATCTTGAAAACATGCTTATAAGTAAAGGTTATATATTACTTTATTAAATGCAAATATGAAGTTCAAATTTTGGGCTCATTGTGCATTTTACTTGTTACCGTTGAATTTTAGGAAACATATGTATGTTTGACTTTTATTGCACGTCCATTCAATCATCCAAATGATTACAGATGAACCACACATAATGCGCACCTTTTTTAGATTCAAGAATTTAATTAAACATTTGCTGAATATTAGGAGAATTTCATGCCCAATTATTCTAATCTAGGAAAGAAAAAATAAAGAAAAAAAGGAAGACTGCGAGTATTAATATATCCATTTTCTAATTCAACAAGCTTATGATATGATGCTCTTATTTACCATGGTCGGATATAATTGCTTGTTTGGCTAATTTCTTTAGAAAACCGCCGAGTAAAAAAATGAACGAGTGTTTATCCTCAGTAAAAATTTATCCAGCAAATTCAATTGATATAGGGAAAAAGTCCATTTGATTGTCTTAATTTAAATGTATTTCACAATGAAGTCATAGCTTATGTATGCAATAAATTACACAATATCTACACAACGTCACCAAAATAATAATAATAATAAATCAATAATAATAATTCAAATTTACCTTAAATTTAGTTATTAATTTCATTGATAATTTTCTTTTTGAGCTAAGATATAAATTTTAGATACATTTTGAAAAAAAAAATACATATATTTAACTTCACAAATTCTTGTGTGAGGCAACCTAACGTTAGATGAATCGACTCGTTATATTATACAAATAACTATTCGATCATACTTAATTATATTTTCATTAGAAAATATCTAATGAAGAAAGTATGCATATTTGTAAAGAAAAAATATGTCATGAACCTAATAGCTAGTTATATCGGCCTAACAAGAAAATTACTGATTTATATTATAATATGAGTGGATTAGGATGAAAAACATTTTTTAGTATGAAAATAAGTTTAACATTATATATGTTCTTGAACCTGACAATATAGCCTATGTTTGGCAAAGTAATAAGCTAGCTTATAGCTTATTTGATTAGCTTATAAGTTTCTTTAATTTAAATAAGTCTCGTTTGGTAGGACGAGCTTTTTTATAAAGCTCGAGCTTATCTCATAAGCTACTTTAGGTAGCTTTTCAAATAAGTTAGTTGAATTTTTTATTTCAACTAGTTTATCAGCTAATTTTACCAAACACTTTTATCAAATAAGTTAGCTTTTCAGCTATAAGTCATAAGCTATAAGCTATCAGCTCGAAAATTACATATAAGTTAGAAGCTAGCTTATCAGCTATCAACTAACTTATCAGTTAATTTTACCAAACATAACCATAATAGTAACATTTTGAATATATGTGCATCATTAAAACATGCAAATTATGTATAATATTATTACTAAAGTGCACATTATACATATACTATATAAAGCTTGTTCCTTATGATATAGATTCGTAGCTCATAAGTCAATAGAATTTATATATATATGTTGGATCCACCTAATTAAAAATCTTAGGTTGACCCAACAATTTCAAAATAAAATTGAAGTCCAATTTTTATTCCACAGCCATTTATGTGAACATTAATAAAAAATTGACATCATGTGACCATTAATTTCAAATGGTCATGTGACCAGCTATTGTTGCTTGTGATAAGGCATAACGCGTTTGCAGCTCCATACTTTGAGCGCACTCTTTAAAAAATATTTTCTTTGTTAATTATCATATAAACAATTTCTTTTTCTTGATCTATTTATTTATTCAGGGGCATATATAGTCGGTGGACTTGCAATTAAGCAAATTTCCAGAAATTATGCATCAGCTTTCAAATAATATAATTGCTTAAATAAGTGGTGTTCATGAACTGTGTAGAACTTAGTAACATTTTAAAGTGGGCACATCTATATATATATAATTGCTAGCTAATCCCATTTAATAAAACATTTAATAAAAATATTTTCACTTTTCCTCCAAAAGGAGTTACATTTTTTTTTAATTAATTACTCATTAATCTCACATTTAAGAAGGTTTTTTATAGTTAAATTTAATTAGTTAATGATTAAATTAAAAAGATTTATTTTAATTAATCCCACATTTATGTAAAGTACAGTATCATCTTAATATCTTATCAGTGTTTCAAAAAAATAGTAACTTTTTCAATAAATTTTATAAAAATTAGTCAAATGTGCTTATATTCATATAAATCAGAAAAAAAATTAAATTTTAGATATATAAAAAGAACATCGTTGAAATAACTTGAATCCGCAAAGGTAATTCTATACTCATTATCAATTACTTTAAATTTTTTGTTTATATTAAAAATTAATATTATAGTTACTCATTTATATTTAGATGGTATTAATTTTATTAAGAAGCAAGGACAATCTCTATCAATCAATAAGAGTCAAGGACAAACAATATAAAGAAATGTTTCCTATGCTATGACATGATCAATAAGAGTCAAAGACAGTCTCTGTCGCACGTCGGCTTACTACTGAAGAGCTCTGCATTTAGTCATGAGCAATTATACGTGACGCTTTTTAGAGTTACGAGTCAGTGGGGTTTGAAGATTTTGATTTGAGCTGAGGGAGATTTTGACGATAGAAAAACCACAACGTTGTTTTATAAAGAAGTGTTTAAGAATATTTATATTTTTTTTCTTAATTTTTTTCAATGAATTTGTTATGATTTTTACTATTGTTTATAATTTTTATTATTTTTTCATGTATCATATAGTTTTCCGTGCAAATGCACGGGACAAAAACTAGTAAATATTAAGTATATAATTTTGTTTGTGTAATCTCATGAATGCTTTTAATGTTATTAATTATAAGTTTATAACAATAGATTACAATATAATCTCATTATTTCATAGTTAAATTAGCATAATCTCGTAACAAATTCTAATAATAATTGGTTTTCCAATTTTCTTTGTCGGTCAATGTTTGTACTTCCAAAACCTGGAAATTTGAAAAAGAGAAAAACTAAATAGGGGAAAAAGGCAAAATCTCTTGAAATGATGGTAAAATTCTAAAATACACAAGTATATAATAGGACCACTTTTCCAATTTCACATAAGATATGGGGCCAATGTGTCCAAAGGTGTTCAAATTTTGTTTCGACCTAAATTAGTTTTTTTTTTTTAATCCCTAAATTTAGTTACACACATTTATAACTAATTCTAACGTTAATTTTAAAATGTCACAGTTAAATGAGATTATTTACCACTAAATTTACTTACATACATGAGCTTAAATTCAATAAATTGCACAAATTACCTCATCTTAGTGTTTTACGCAGTAACATGAGAATTTATTTATTTATTTATTTATTTTTTTGTCAGCTATTAAAACAGCAGGCCAACTTTATTATTACGAAAATTATATTTTATTTGTTTTTTTTTTATGTACTGCAGATATGCTTTTATTCTAAGGAAATGAAAGGTTATTACATAGTGTGCCTGAATTTAACCTGTGTTATATTCCCTTTTGCACAGCTGCTTTATTCTCTTTACTTGATCAATAAACAGCACTAAATTGATCCTGTTTAAGAGAAAAGAATCTTCAGTAAAAAAAAACATTTTAACAATTTTTTAAATCAAACACTTTTTAAGAGTATTTGATTTTAGTGAAATCATTAGAAATCATAAGTTTAGATGTGAGATTTGTTGATGGAGTTTAGTATAGGTATTTTGTTTTCGAAATAAAAAAAGTTTTAGAAAGTCAGAAAGAAATTTCGTTATGATAAATTGAATCTTATAATTTTTTTAAGGCTTTTTAAGATCTCAATTAAAAAAACTCACGTCTTTTTAAACTATTTTGAAATCTCAATTGAATACATCAAGATTCTTAAAATTTAAAAAGGTATTAAAAAATTTAAATTAAATACACCAAACTAAAATTAATTGAAGTTTTATCTCTAACTTAGAGACTAGATTTAACTTTTTTCTTTAGTTCATAATTAAAATGTAAATATAAGTTGTTATTTTAGA